CAGGGCGGGTGGGCCGTTCGGGGTTTTTAAATGTTTGATTCTGTTGTCACCGTCGCAATTCGCACGCATTTACAGCTCCAGAGCTCGTTCAAGGGCACCTGAATGCCAGCTGGCTTTCAATGGCTCTCCCAGAGCGGGGCGGGCTGCAGGGACCAGAGCGGCTGAGCTCGGCCCGGGCAGGGTCAGCCCAGGGCACAGCCCTGGCTCCAGGCGGTTCTGCGGGGGGACACGGACAGCTCAGGCTGTTTGTATTTTACCGCTGAGGAAATGCAGCTCAATGCTGTGATTCGGGAAGGTTTTTAACTGCGGACACGGATGCAGTGAGAATACACCTTGTGTTTTACCTGTGGTGCCCCCAGGTTGGAAAGGCATCAGCCAGGGAGTGTCCCCGAGTTGTTCCTTAGAACCCGACCTCTGGCCTGAGGGCTGTGGCTACACGGGCTTGCAGTTCCTGAGAGCTACTGCCCGGCTCGGCAGCTGGCACTGATGGAACGCAGAGCACTGCCGTGCAGATGTTCTGTAGCAGTTACAGCTGTTTCCTTCACCCTCAGCTGTAAAGGGTTTGTTCAGGTGAAAACTCTACAAATCTGTAACTGACATAGCTGACATTTAGCCATTTAGCTCTACATTTTAATTAACATCAAACATGCTTTTCACTGAGTATAGCAAATTTTTTAGAAGTTAGCCATATTACTTCTTTACTACATGCTTTAAGCCTTGATACTGAAATAACTTAGTATGGAGCACTATCTCAGAATTTTGTTTTTCAGCTTAATTTCTTTGCAGTTAAAATCCTATAGCAATTACATTCCCAATGTTGAGTTACTTGTAAATAAATGTAATTATTCTCACTATAAGGCATATAAAGCCCTGAGAGCTTAAGTACTTTGAGACATCTGCTAACTTTGTGCCAACTACAAGAAAATACAAATACTAAATACTCTTCCAAGTAACAGGTTGTGCTTTGTCAAGTTATGTGTTCTGTCCTTGCCATATTCTTTTCTTTGGCTTGTAGATTTTCAGTGGGGGAAGCAGCTTTCTTTTGTCAGAGAAACTCATGAGAGGCCTTTTAGTTATCCTTCCTATCCTGTTACTTTAGCACACAGGTTTGATGGGGGAATCCCGCTTAAAATTGGATAGCTGTTAGCTTTATCTCTAAATCTGCTGAAAAGTGAGCCTGGGGACTGAAAGTTTAAAATTATTTACTGTGGCTTTTAACTAGAGCAACAGTTTAATATGAAAGAGGATGCCTGATATTTTTAATTTTAAAAATGCTTAACCACACACTTAATACTATTACAGGCATAGTTACTTCAGACAAAAAATAGCACAGAAGTGTTACACTGCAGATGTGCAAACTTCACTACATCAGATTTCTTCTTAGCAGCTCTTTACAAGGAAACATTTGAATGGAAAACAGGTCTGTCTTTTCTGAGCTAGTCATGGTATCCTACAGGAGTTTTTTCTTGAAATTTACTTATAAAACACTTCACTTTTTTTCACAGAAACCCAGAACTTCCCACAGATTTTCTGCACCCTGATCAGGTTTCTTTTTCAAACAGTAGGGAAACCAGTTTCACAGATCACCTGTTAATGTACCAAAAATTCCCTGTGAAAACCATTTTCATGTAACTTAAAATTGAAACTATTAATGGAACCCTACCCAGACTTTGGAATAACATAACATTTCAAATGCATGACGGTGTGTTTTACCTGCAAGTGGTGTCATTTGCTGTTCTTTTCTGTGCAGCCCCTGCCAGCGTGCGCTGTGTCCACAACGATGTCACGGTCCCCGACTTCTCTGCCTATCGCCGCGAGGATGTGCAAGATCCCAACGCATCTTCCCAAGGCAGCAGTGATTCCAGGAAAGGCTTCTCCTACCTGATGACTGCAGCCACAGGTGTAGCAACTGCCTACGTTGCCAAGAATGTTGTCACGCAGTTTATTTCCAGCCTGAGTGCCTCTGCTGATGTGCTGGCCTTGTCAAAGATCGAGATCAAGCTGTCTGACATTCCAGAAGGGAAGAACATGGCTTTCAAGTGGAGAGGGAAGCCCCTTTTTGTTCGTCACAGAACCCAGGCAGAAATTAGTCAGGAGGCTGAAGTTGATCTGTCTCAGCTGAGGGATCCACAGCACGACTTAGACAGAGTGAAGAAGCCCGAGTGGGTGATCCTGGTGGGTGTGTGCACTCACCTGGGCTGTGTCCCCATCGCCAACTCCGGGGATTTTGGCGGCTACTACTGCCCCTGCCACGGCTCCCACTATGACGCCTCTGGCAGAATCAGGAAAGGTCCTGCTCCCTTAAACCTCGAGGTCCCAGTTTACCAGTTTGTTGGGGATGACACGGTGGTGGTCGGCTGAGAGACGAGGTGCCTGCTCACTTCCATGTTCCTGGGAATGTACACCAAAAGGGTTAACTGAGGCATACTGTAAAAACAGAGATTAGCTATCTAGATTCTCAACCAGAACCATGCTTGAATACTGTGTTCAATTTCAATAAAAACTTGGAGTGAGCACTTGTTCCTGACTTATGATAGAGTGTATTTCTTTGTGTACAGATTTCTAGTGTGTCCAGCCAAGGAGATGCAGACCCAGAACACAGAGCCCTCCTGAAGGGCTGCTGATTTGAGGTACACACTGAGCTACAAAGCCACAAAGAAATCTTCTAGCCAGCATTGGTCCTGCCAATACAGCACAGAGCTGCTGCTTCATTGCATGCAGAACAGAATGAGAACCAAGTTTGCTATTTCTAGAACAAAGCAAAAAGACACCAATTATCCTGTACTTTGTGTTTCCTTCCCATTCTTTACAACTGGTCTGAAAGTAACCTCTGTCCTGCACTGCACTGATGTGCTCCCCCAATTGCAGAATAGAAACTAAAATCCTCAGAAACTACAGAAAAGTCTGACAGAATTTTCAAGATGCAAATAATAAAAGCTTATTCACATTAAACTAGTAAACAAATGAGATTGCTAGAATTAAACGGAGACCACAGTCTGGTCTGACATAATACTCTTCTGTGGATATAGTGAGGGAGAGTTCTGTCTGACACCAGTTTTGCAATAGAGGTGTCATTCATTTCAGGGACTCTGTCACAATCTATGCAAGTAGCAGTCAGTAAAAATTGAAAACCCTTGTGTCCAGCCTGTTTGGTGAAAAACTCACATCCTATGTGCATGCAGATTTTAACTAAAGCATATTTTCCTTTGTGCCTCATGAAAGAAAAGACAAAATTGTTTTCTCCCTCTCTTCAAATGGATCCAGACAACACAAAGCTCCTGTAGCTGAATCAAAGGAGCAAGTAAAGAAAGGGCATATTAAAATAAAATGGAGAACTTGTAAGGTGTATGTGGTCCAGCCAAGGCCCCTGGCTCAGGCAGGTGAAGTTAAAGGCCAATCCTGCATAAAGACACAGATTCTGACTTGGATCCCATAAATCCCACCCAGAGGAGCCCTTCATGACTGCAAAGGAGACAGGGATGGGTGGGTGCTTACAGTGGGCACCAAGGGCAATAAGTAAGAAATGTCAACCAGCAGCTCTGTTTGACATTACCCAGCCTTAGGTGTTTGTGTTTTAGAGGGAGTTTTTTTATTTTCTGCATATCTAGCAACTCGGCAAAACAGCAGTTACTGAGAATTCAGACAAAACTGATAAACTTCAGGTGAATGTCAGCAAGAGAAACATGGGTTTGGAGCCACTTCCATCTCCAGCCTCAGCCCTTTGAGTGCCTTTAGGTGCTCCTCAGTCCAGGGTTGGTAGCAGTGGCACAGCCAGAGCACTTTGCTCATTCCCACACCCATTGGATGTATTGCCATCATTTGTTGGTAGTGTTTGCAACGAGAGGAGGAAAAGGGGACTTCAACAAGGCTCACTTGTTGAAGAAAATTTGTGTAGAAAAGGTAAAAGGACAAAAGTTGTGATACATAACATAGTCCCTTAGGTAAATAGCTGTATTAATATTAAATTTTCAAAATTAATGATGCTTCAATTTATTAAAGCCTTCATTTATATTTTGTGCCTATTAAAATACATAATGCTATAATCCTATTTGTAAGCAACTAGAATACTGGAAGGTGATAAGTAATAGCCTCCATGGATTTATCAGGAACAAATCAAGTCAATGCAATCACATTTGTTGCTATAATAGAATAACAGGCCTTGGAAACAGGGATATTAGCAGTAGCTACCACAGTTTCAAATCAGATTTTCACACCATCTCACAAAACGTTCTGATGTCTATTAAGGAACCTGGTATAAATTGGAGCATTGTAGAGAACAGCTGCTCCCAAAGCAGAGCTGATGGATGAAGTACCAGCAGTTCCCTGTTGGAGCAAGGAGTCGTGCTGTGAGGAGCTCAGTGAGAGCCTGTGAGCCCAGCACTGCCCACTATGTCTGTTCATCAGCTGTCAGAGAATGAGCTCGGTAAAGCTGTATATGGTGGTGAACTCTGTACACCTGGGAACTTGGATGCAAAAAGGATTAGAGTTAAAAATAACCTGGACAAATAATGCCCTACAAAGCCAGCATGTGTTGTGATAGAAATTAATAGCTAGGGAGCAGGTCTACAGAAAAGAATTCAACATAATGACTAGGGTGAAAGAAAAAGGATTTGGGATACCCATGAAAGCAATAATGGATGTTGTATAACACTTTCAATGCTCCAAATGTTAAAATAACTTTAAAGATTAAAATCTGTGGGGATAAATTATAATGTTAAAATGAATCAAATTCTTGATACAGGAATAGGAGAAGCTGAGGGACTGGACAAACTAATGGAGGAAATAAATGACTGATTACAGAACATTCCTCCTGTCAGGAAGTTGCAAGAGAAAAAATCTGAAGGAAATATCACTGAATGCATGTGTTATGCTGAATTCTTTTTTAAGTGTCAGTTTATAGCCTCAGTCAGAGATAGGTGACTGAGCTATTTGAGCTTTTTGTCTGACTCATTAGAGTCATCTTTGTATTGTTTAACATGCTGCAGCACTGAGAGAAGCAACACAAGTTGCTTTGCTCAGAGACACAGAACTGTTGGCATTTATTGTACTAGCACTACTGGTGACCATTTTGTGTCAGCTGTGATAGATTTTCTTCATTAAGTATTTAGCATTATAACATTTTAATAACCTCAAGACATAAATTATGACATTGCCTGTGCTAGCTATGCATAATCAAAATATAATATACTACATTGCTTACCAAATGCACTTTTCCCCCTATGACATTAGAAATTTAAAATTAGCAATTCTGGAATTAAAGCACACTTGAAATACAAGTTTGTTGGTTCTTCCCAACTTTTACAGGGGCTTGGAACATGAGACAGGAGGAGGGTGTCTTTTCTGCCTCTAAGTAACAAAGAATTAGCAGAAGAAAACTTCCACCTCTAACAACATAACAGAGAACTGATGGCTCATGTCTTTTGTCAGTCAGTCAAAGAATTGGCAAATAATGACTTTATCTTCTACCACACCAAGCAGAAGTTACACTCACAGAGGCAGAGCTGGGATCAGAAGGTAAACAGTACAAATGAAAGGCTCTTGCTTCTGGACTTACCACAAGCCTGTATTTGAGTTCCCTTTAGTTAAATTCTACAGTAAAAATCACCTTTAGCAAAAATTCTGCAGTAAAAATCCCCAACATGCAGGTTCTGCCCATAGCTTTCTGCAAGCAAGCTAATGGTGATGTTGGACTGAGTTGCTTCACTCCCACCACATAACACAGCAAGAGAACCCCAAATACTCCTCAGTTGTTGTATAATCTACAAGAAATTGCAACACACAGAATCAGAAAGATTGGAAAAGATCTCTAAGATAATGCCAGCCTCTAGTTCCCGTCACAGAGTGTCAGCTTCTTGAAAAACTCCATTGGTTTGCACAGCCCTAGGATGATCAAAAGAGTTTCTGAGAAATGCATCATTTCCTAGCAGGTCCAGGAAATTTTATATGTAGGGGGATTTAATGGTTAAAAGGAGCACTTAAAAACATAATATAAACTGCTTGAATATATATAATAAGAGGGTAGATTTAGCATGCACAGAAATTACCCTTCTTTGCCTACCTTTGTAGAAGTTAAATAAATAGCAAGAAGCAGCTAACAGGAAGGTTTCATTTTACAGGTTACCAGCATCAAGGCTTTTTGTCAGTCTGTGTGGGGACCAGGAGGAGGAGGATGCCAGGAAGTTGATTTTGTAACCATACTTGTTGTGCATAACTCACACAGAGCTGGTGACTGAGTACATTTAGGCCACATGGCTATCTGAAAACAAACCAACCCAGAATTGGAGGTCTCCACCTGGCTTGCAGCAAGTGTGATGGAGCATTTCGGGTGTGAGCCTGAGCTGTGTCCTGGAGGATGTCACCTCTACACAACAGCCTATCAGCTGTGCCAGGCTACAGCTGCCTTTTCCCACTACTTTCAGATCCAACTGAACTGCAGTTTTGAATTAAGTAGCAAAATATCAGGAGTTGCAGTGGCTTTTCCAGCAGTTTGCTGAGGACTGTAGATACCCCAATGGTCCAAAGTACACTGAGGTACTGTGCAAGTTGGAATTTAACACACACAAGATGTGGCTCAGATTTCCCACTGAAGTACCTAGAGTGGCATGAAACTTCTGACCTAGAAGGAATTTTTTTCTCTATAACAACATCAATTTTGATGCTTGATTAAAGACTGCTTATTTAGTTCAATATATTTTTCTTTTTTGAACTTGTAATATGCTTGGATTTAAATGGCTTTACTTAGACTATAATATTTCCACAAGCAGAAGCCACTATTTATTCTTCTTTTCAGTTCTTTTAATAACTCTGCTTCAGATTAGAATACAAAATAAAACTCCCTCCTAGCCACTCTACTTGATACAGACTAGGAAGATGAATAACTGCTTCAAAACATTTGTGTTTTTTCCAACTAAAATAAAGCATTGGTATTTTCTCCCAAGGCAAATCTGAAATTGTATATCTGATAGAGAAATTCTGGCATTATGGTAACAGAAAAGAAAAAAAAGTACTTATATGATTATATATGCTTATTGTACATGCAAATAAGTATATGTCAGACTGTTCATAATGTATCATTTAATATTTACATATTACATTGATACATTAAATGTATCATTTATTATTTAATGTTTTCAATATCAGCTTTTGGAAGGTTGGAATTCATCCAGTAATTTTTGGGCCTAATCACAATGGCACTCAGAAGAGTTGGTGATCATTTTTCTCTCCTCACCTCGTGCCAATCATTTTTCAGAAACATTTGTTTTTGAGGACAGCTTTGTATTTTGACAGATTAGGCGTCCTTACTTCTAATTCACAGCAATAGATATGGGCCATTCTTACAAGCAGTCTATAAATCATCAGCTTTTCCACCCTGAATTTCTTGCCATCCCTAGGCTGTTCCACTGAGGTCAGTAACGGTTTGCATTTCCACCACTATTTGTCTTCCAAATTTTTCCTCACCTTTTTTTTCCTTAATTTCATTTCCCAGGCAAACATATTTCCAGTTATGCCAGCAGGCATCACATCCATCAGC